CTAGTTTCCATGAGGCTGCAAGGACAGAGAAAGGAGGACAACAAATATATAAGCTAGATAATACCAGACTGTGATTATTTTTATGAAGGAAATAAAAGATGATCATATAAGAGAGAGAGTAACTGGAGTGGAGAGGGCAGAGTACTTCAAGTAGGGTGATCAGGAAAGACTTCTCAGAGGAAATGAGGGTATCATTTATCCTTATCCCTGAAGGATAAGGAGTCAGTCCTGGGAACTGCTAGGAGAAATGGATTTCCTCTAACGGGACTATCAAGTGCAAAAACCACAGGGCTGGAGCATACACAAGGTGAAAGTAGTACCTCCTGAAGTTGGCAGGGAATACATGGGCAACTTGTAAGCCATGGAAAGAGGTTGGATCTTACACCCAGTGCAAAAAGCCCCTGAACTGTTCTAAACAGAGGCACAACAAAGTCCAATTTATGTTGTTGAAAGTTCTTAAAATGTTTCTGATTAACAGGGTAGCTTTAAACTGCATCAAAAAACCTTCTGTCCCCAGGATCTAATAAAATTAAAAAAAACTTGAAAAAATCAAAAGTGTATATACTTACCAAATATCAAATCAAGAGAAGCCACAATCTAATTCACTGTTCTTCGAAAGCTGGTGGCCAAGGAAAAAAAAAAGTTTCCAAGGGAAAAACAACAGAGAAACACAGCTGTATTTTTAAAAAGACAAAGGCCTGGAATTCTTACTGTTACCCCTAAATCCAGACAGACAGTGTTACTTTATCTTTTGAACTTCTAACTAGGAAGTAGTGGGAATAATGATGGTTGCGAGGGGAAGGGCTGACTCCTGATGGAGCGCATTTTCAGAGCTAGCTTCAGAATCGGGAGCTGGATGCAAGCCCTGGAGCCTTCTAACGTGACCGGTCAGGCTAAGGAGGAGACAGCAGTGGGGACTGAGAAGGAACACCCAGAGAAAAAGGAGAAGCATGAAGAGAATATATTATGGAAGCCAGAGAGGAAAGTAGTACAAGAAGGATGGAGTCGTCAACTGCATCAATTGCTGCTGAACCAAATGAGCAAAATGAAGACATAGAGGTATCCCCTGGACTTGGAAAAATAGAGGCTGCTTGTAACTTGACAAGCAGTTTCCATAGAGGAGGAACAATAAAGGCAAGGTTGAATTTGAAGATTTACAGTGGCCAGTAGGCAAAAACAAACCAGTTGATCAGGAAAAGTTTAATCGTTACAGATACTGAGACCAGAGACAGTGTTTCCCTCGGGACCCACCTCTCAGACTCAGCGGTAAGACCGCACACAACATCCTTGACCAACTCTCTGCGGAAAATACAAAAAACAGTTTCTTAGACCTGCCCTTTAATTTGGACATCAGAGACCTGTCACACTGATTGTGTGATTACATTGGGTGGAGAAGTGAGCTAACTGGTTATTTTATGAGAATATGGTTATTCTGTATAATTCCATGTGATAACCACACATGGCCATGGCAATGGGCTTACGTCCCTTCCAATTGTAAAGGTCTGTTAATAATGACAGTTTCCTGAGAGAGAGCTGGATCTGTTTTAAGAAGTCAGCTTGTGGTGGCCATAATCTAAAAATATGAACTGAGTAAAGCATTTGTCATCTACAGGAGCTGAAGGGAATATAAGAATGTCAATTAATGTTGAGCAAAAGGATTGCCAAGTAAGAGAGAGGACCTATTAAAGGTCAAAAAGCCTGAATTTACACATTTCATTAAATTTGCAGAGTCAAGACCTACTGGAGATAAAGCAATTTTCAGAAGTATTAGAGAATTATGCAGACCTGGGCATTTTCAGGCATGTAGTTTGCTCGGGTTCAGCTCGGGTGCGAGCTCTGATTAGTGACCTGCTGTACTCCACAAAGGAGCCTAGGTGCTCTGGCAGACTTACTTGTGAGCAGTTTTGCAGACGGTAGCTCCTTACCTATTCCATGAAAAATATTCTACTCTGTATTCACTTTATTAATTAGTGAATTAAAAAGATAACAATAATTTGAAATTTTAATGCCATTCTAAAAGGTACACTGATTGTCTAACTACCCCCAAACAGTACAGCCTGGTAGATGAGAGAGCAGGCAGTGAGAACAGACTGGCAGAGTCTTTACATCTAAATAGCTTCGTGACCATGGCCAGGTTAATCTCCTCGCCTGCTGGTTCTCTCATCTGCGAAATGGAAGGGTCATAATGGTATACACTTCACAGGGCTATTGTGAAAGAGTAAAGATGAATGACAGTGCCTGGGACATTCAGAAGTATTGAAAATATGATAGATAAAATCATGGTTTGAGAAATGTTTTTCCTGAAACTGGTGATTAGAACAAAAGGCCCTAAGTAACCCATATTCCTAATTCAGAGAAACTCCAGATATGGGGCCAGTTGCTTTCCCATCCAGTTTACACTACAACTCCCTCCCCTATAAAAAAAAGTGGATTTGGAGTAAGGGGGTTTGGTGTTAGAGAATGCAGTGTTTGTGAACAGAAACATCCCAGTGGTTCCTTGTCCCAAAGATGAGAGAGAAGCCAAGAGTTCCATAGTTCATGAGTATGTATAGGACCAGTATCTTGCAGCCCAGTTATGTATCACATGAGTGACTAGGCTTGCCAACTTGCCTTAGGACAACCATGGAGAATTGCAGACAGTACAGAGAGGGGCATGCATACCCACTTTTAGTTCCACGTTCCTGAGATATACTAAGGATAGACACAGCTTGAGAATGGTGGTCCTGGAGTGTAGGTGAGATTGAAAGTTACGGACTGGCTGCAAACCAGTGAAGGGGGCAGAGCACTCTCTGGTGCTGAGGGGAGCTGGGTGGGGTCTGGTGAGAACTCTCACCAGCCACATCTGTACACCAACTCCTGTGTATACTGAGGCTGCGGCACTGAATTAGATGGTGGATGGTGGTGATGACCAGGGGGAGGGACAGACGCATCTCCTGGGCCAGTCACTTAAGATGTTGCTTAACTCTCAGAGGAGTACATACAGGGAATTGGGAGGTGGTTTATTGAGAGACAGCTCCCCGCTGGCCTTCCAAACCACTGGAGTCTCAAGTCTAAATTGTAGTGAAAGGAAGAGAATACATTAAGTCTTTCTAACTGAACTGAGATTTTTAGTAATGAGAATTCACTAATGAGCTTTGGAATCTGGGTAAGATGTGTTTAAAGGAACCACCTAGCCAGAGGGAGAGGAAAGATTAGCAGAACACAGTTAGAAAACAATTATTGGAAAAACAGACCAATCCTACCCGTATATTAAGCACTTGAAACTCCCTAACTTATCAGTTGCAGTTATTGTCTGAAAATTGATCTTCTTTTTCCTAGCTAGTCCCTTGTTTCTTATATGGGGTTTCACGTTCACATTATCTAATTTGAAAAAATTCATGTTTATTTTCTCCCCACATAATCCAAGTAATAGAACATAAAAATGCCTAAGATATGAATGAAAACACATGTCCTTGATTGCTTCCTTGCCACTTTATCACGAAGATTTCCAAGAGCCCATGTTTTTAATGACTTTTATGTTTCTCTTTTTATAATTATAATATAGGTCCGTTGTTAACTTGGGAACTACCAAAGAAAAGAAGAAAATCAAAGGAATCCATATCACATCATCCAGATACAGCCATATTGATATTTACTTTAAATGCTTCCTAACTTTTTAATTCATATATATATATACTTTTTAAGAAGTAAAAATGTGTCAACTTGTACAAACTATTTTGTAACCTGCGTTTTTACCTTTTAGCACTTAGAAGAGTGCCTAGTACCTCATAAGTTCTCAATAAATATCTGTTGAATAGATGAGTGAACACATTTACATGTCATTAAGATTTTTTCTGTGGCACCATTTTTCACAACTGCACAGCATTCCACTCTATGAATTATCGTGTTGCATCGATCCAGGCCCGGGAGAGCTGAGGAAAATAAGGTGTGTGATGGACACACAGATGCCCTGTGCATGCCCCAAGTTCGTGCTGCTCAGGGCTGCTGGGAGTGCTGGCACTCCACCCTCCACTGCCAGCTGCCTTCAGGGATTACTGCAGCTACAGAGCACCACCTTCCTGGGCCTCCCGTATCTAAGGACGGATCACAGGGGGCCCATGAAGAACGATCATGACAGGCATTTCCCTCCAAGTTCCCCCGGAAAGAGGTGGTACCCGAGGCTTTCCCACCTCCATGGCAGCTTGACTTCTCCCCACACCCAATCCTGTTTCCACCCTCTTCCTTTCATGGATATTCATCTCAAGAGCACTCCCTAATAAATATACTGCACTCTAAATTCTGTCTTAGAGTCTGCTTCCTGAAGAACCGAACCTGGTACAGAGTTGGTTCTGACCCAGCAGAACTACTTCGCTAATGTTAGCAAATTCTAACAATACTGCTGTTACCCATACCTGCACCCGGCTAAATAAACTATGATGCATGTAGTCCGCAATTTGTTTCGTAGCCATTAAAACAACTGTTGGTGCTATGTGTGACACGTGGCTCAGGAGGAAGGAAGGGGAAGGGGAAAGGAGGGAGGAATTGGGTATCATCACATAGTTCCTTGAGCCTCTCTCTATGCCTGAATTTCTCTCAGTCTCTTTGTTTCCAGATCTCTTGCTCCTTATTAGTCTTTGGGCCACACACAGTGTGAGCATTACTTGGACGACTACTATTCCTCTAAATGCAGCATACATAAGTTATAGAAACTGGACATGACCCTGAACAGATAACATGTACCAGCAGAGCTATGGGCAGTCAGGATAATAAAGAGGCCTTTTAATGCACAAAAGCAGAATTAAGGATCAAATCACATGAATAAAAAACAAATCAAATCCAAATAAGAACAAAAGCCCTGAGTAGGTGTTCCAGGAAGGCCCTGACCTAGGAGGAATCTGGGGGAGTGATGAGCTGTGCCCTGTAAGGATGCCTCCAACCTGTCAGAATCACACATTCTTAAGCAGCAGAAATCTACAGAACAAAAACTTCCTGTTACTTCGGGCCTCAGCAAGGCGAACTTAGGCAGCCTCAGGCTCAGCCCATGTGAGCTGCCTCCTCCCAATCACAGCCCACCCTCCCCTGGTCCCAGAGGTTCAAAGAACTGGTGCAGGGTAGAAAAGCACTTGGGGCCAGAGCAGCCTGCCCAGCGGGCCAAAGCAGCACCAGGAGGAGGAGGCGGAGAGGACAGGTGAGTAAACCCGACTCCACTCTGCAGGGACGCCAGCTGCACCCTCAGGGGCTGAGCTGCTGTCCTGGGAGGGGAGCTAGCAGTCTGACGGGGAAGGGGACCAAATTCATTTCCTGATGAATAGAGTCAGCAATTTTTGTAACTTAGACTCTTGCGACTGCTTTATTCTCTTTTACTTTAAATGTACAGATTGCTTTCTTAAACCATTTGATACTGTCCGGCTCTCAGAACTGAGATTAAAGTTCTGGAGGTGTCAGTCATTCATCCTGATTTCAACCTCAAATTTCTTCAAAGACAAAGAAAACTCCAAGAACCCTCGGAAAATGTGTATCTCCTGACTAAATCTCAGAGAGACGCCCTCCCAGACCCCCAATTTCCCAGTGCAGAGTCAGAAAGCAAAAGACAATTTAAGGAAACCAGTCATATTATTTCTAAATAATCTAGCAGAGAGATGAGACCTTCCTGGTCGTCTTTTTAGAAATCATTTGGTCCTGCCAACGCATAATGCGATTTGTGAGGCAATTACTTACATTTCTTCTCTACAAATGGTTCTGCCTAATAAATGCATCAGTTGAAATAACTCAACAAATTACCTTTATCTGTAATGTTATTTTTACATAATGTATTTTTAATCTTCACCAGTTAGTTGATCCACCAGGATCTGCATATTCTAATTATACATTATGTATATTTGTTTTTATTGCATAAAAACCTTTGTAAAGGAATCATAAAGAACCTTGTAAAGAAATGGTTTTCCTTTTGATTAATGCTCCTCAATAAGGAGAAAAATTGTTTTTTTTGCTTTCTTCTATAACAGACTTTCTTTCTGCTACAATAGGCTTAAACATAAACAAACTTTTTTTTTTAACTGTCTGGAAAGAACCATAGACTTGTAAATCAAAAGGGGACATTAGACACCATCAAGTTAAAAAAAAAACAACAAAAAAACCCACAAATGAAATCTCAGTATTTTTTTTTTTACCTCTCCTGCTTACATTCTTACCTAGAGCAAACATTGATCAGCCTTAGAATGCACTGTTTCCTTGAAGCTGGAATCTGGGCCTCATGGCCATGCAGGTCACCTACCCCCCTGCCTACGTGCCTATCTGGGGCAGAGACCAAATTCATGAGGAGGTGCCCTGATCTTACCTCCCCCAAGGGATCTCCACAGTGTTCCTGCCCTGACGGGGGCATCCCCCCCCATTGTGCACATCTGATGTCTTCACTTGCCCCAGAGTGACTGAGTCATTGATCTACCACTGGTTCTTGACTTCAGGTGTGAGTGACCCCGAGCTCATCAGGAGCCGAGGACAGTGCTGTCCAATGAGCTCTCTGCCGAAATGGAAATGCTCTGTACAACAGCCCCTGACCACCTGTGGCTTCTGAGCATTTAAAATGTGGCTAGTACAACTAAAGAACTGAATTTTAAAATTTCATTTGATTAATTTGAATTTAAATAGCTACATGCAGAAACTAATTACCATAGCAGTCAGAGCAGGTTTAGTCTTTAAGGCAAGGAAAGCTTAATGGATGCTGCGAGCCATGGTGTCTTGGGCACGGTAACAAGATCTTCTTTTCCTCATTGCCAGGGACTCATCCTACACTAAATATAAGCAAACCAGCAACTGTCCTGATCTATAGTCTCCACACCCATTTTCAGTCTCACCTCTAAGTCATTCAACTGTCTGCTTCTGGGTTAAAGGCAACAGCATACTGTGTTTCTTGTTTCTTCCTCTCCTATTTCTTTTTTCTATTATTTTTGTTGATCCAAATTTCTCTAGCATGACCTGGAGGTTTAGGAGTGATCTGTGTGTTGTTCTCTGGCCCAATAAACTTGGGTGAGGAACAGCAGAAATGGATTTGAAAAAATGATCCCATCTTGGTGGGTGAGTCTCTCTCCTTTTTCTTTGGCTTTGAAAATTGGTTTGTTGAGTGAGCAGTGGTTTTTAGATCTACTCAGTGTGCGTGGAAACATCAACACTATGGATATGAGTAATTTTTTTAAGGAAAACTGAATGAAGGCACAAAAAAAAAAAAGAAAACTCCAGCCTTTTAAAAAAGTCTGCACTCCTCAGAGCAAAGGAACTCCTAGGATGTTGAGCAATTTGCGTAAATCATCATGGCGCCAGGCCACTGGGCAGTTTTCCACAGGGTGGGGCTCACAGGGGCTATTCCTGTATGTGGAAAACATTTTGAGGTATGCTGCCCACTTTCAGTCTGGGGTGATATCATTCCTGAAGCAGACAGCCACAATTTGACCTCTACCTTCTACCTATCCTACTTTTTAAAAGTTATCCCATTTCACAGATTCTTTTATAACCCTGCCAGCTTTAAAAAATTCTAATATATGTGAGGGAAGCACTGCTTTGGAGAAACACAGGAAGGTTCAGTAGACTCCACATTTGCCATAGCCCATACTACTGGAAGCTAAAAAGGGAGGGAGGAAGGAAAGACATATCATAATATCAGGACTCAGCCTCTGTGTGCGCAGAAGACAGACCCAACTGGGCGTTCCCCTCTCTGGGTGTCTCCCCTCTTCCTTTGGAAATATAAGGAAGGAATCTGATAAAAACATTCACATTGACATCGATGGCTCAGGAGAATCAATGGACCTCTTTTATGAATTTGCATTCTAATGAGCAAAGGAGGGATTTCAGAAATTAGGGTGAAAAATGAAGATTTTGAATGGAGGGTGAGGTGGAAGGTTCTCTCTTTGCCAGCTTTGTTTATGTGACTTCCTTGTGACCTGACTTGTAAGGGAAAAGGCAGGCTGAAGGACACTGGGAGTTTCTCTTAATTTTAAAGAGACATAAAGGAAGGTGTATATCCCTACCTTTTTAAAAAGAAGAATGAATGATTAGTGACAGACTCAAGAAAGGCTGGCTGCAGGGCCAACTGACCTGGACTCAAATCTTGGCTCTGCAAATGACTCATCGGTGGTCCTGAGCAGGTCACTTCCCCCCAGGGGCTTGGTCTCCTTACCTGCATTCCGAGAGGGCTGACGGAAAAGCCTCCACATTTGCAGCCAGAGCTGACCCTTATCGTGCAGAGTGGGCACATGGCTAATAACAGCTCTAGGCGAAACAACACATTGGTTTCTCCCCAATCACATACCTTCTCATAAGACAAAAACTAGCTAGAGTGTAGTCATTGACGTCTAGGTGTGTCACTCATCAATTAATTTGAAAGTTTATGATCTTGTTCCTTGAGAGCAATTACTTGTCAAGTTGGCTTACTTTAATGTACAACCATCTCTTCCTCTGTGGGTTCAGAATAGCTTATTAAACAAAGCTTTGGGAAAGAAGAAAGGTAACAAGGTGCCAGGCCAGATTGCAGTGGGTGAGGCTCGCAGGAAAGAAAAGCCACACACACACATCCAACAAACTGGCTGTGGCCTGAGCTTCCCTGAAATGCTGTTTGCTTAGGGCCCAGGGAAGCAGGAAGGGTAGGAAGGATCACTCCAGGCAAGGGTGGTTGTGGAAAGAAGAGGTTTTTCAGTTCAGCTTCAGAAGATGGAGTTCAATAGGCAGAAAGAGAAAAGACTTCAAAGGGAAAGGCAATGTACACACAACCCAGAGGCATGATCTGCACACTCGGCAGAAGGGGATGGTAAGCAGCAGGCCCCCTGAAACCTGGCTGGTACCGTCTTGAGTGCAGGCTGAGGAGACAGGGCTTTGTCTCTTCAGCTGTCCAACCTCTCTTCGATGGGCTGGGGGGGAGAATGAAATGGTTGGCTCTGGCCAGATACTGTGTATACAGACAAAGGGAAGTTACTGGTCTGTCTCCAAGAGCTGGAAAGTCAAAAGGTCTCAGATTCAAGGGCAGCATTGTAGGACAGGAGAAATCTGGATGTGAAGAGATTGGTCAGCAAGAGACAATGGATGGACAAATGAAGCCATCTGCCAATAGGAAGTAAGGGGTTGCTGGTGACTTGTGGATGGAGCTTGTGCTTGGAGCAAAAGCAGTCTAGGGCTCTCCTCTGAATTTAGGCTATAGGGAGCCTTTGAAGATACTTAAGCAGAGGAGTGATAGAAAATCAGAGCTGTGTTTTAGGGCAGTGGATCTCAGGTTAATGGCTGGCACCATAAATTGCTGATAAACTCAATTTAAAATAATCAAGTGGACCATTTGGCCTAAATTCACTCTGTAAGTAGATCATAGCCTAAATAGGTGGTAGCAGGCACCGAAGATTTAAGAAAAATCTGTGAGGGGGAAAAATGCTTAAAATGACAAAATTTGATCATTCATTTTTCTTCAAGTTAGGAAATGACTGTAATTATTCAATTTTGGCATCAAAACACATCCTCCCAGTAGGTGGAACATCTGTGCTTTGTAGAATCATTTAAGAACCTCTGCTTTAGAAAGTTCACTCTGGAAGCACAGCGTGGAACAGAAACAGAAACCATTACATTCATCTGAGCCAGAAGTTAGGAGCTGGCAGTGGGAATTGGCAGGGAAGGGTAAAATGGTGTCAGGAAACATCAGAAAACAATCATTTTGCTTCTATCCAAATTATAAATCAATTGAAGTCAAAGGAAGGGGTGTATTATTAAGGGTTCTCCACAGATACAAAACAAATAGGACATATAGAAAGACAGATTTATTTGAAGGAATTGGCTCATGTGGTTATAGGGCCTCCCAAGTCTGAAATCTATAGAATAAGCAAGCAGCCTGAAAATTTCAGGGAAGAAGTTGCTGTTGCACTCTTGAGTCTGAAATCTGCAGTCTGGAAACACAGGGTTTCTGTCGTGCAGCCTTGAAGCAGAATTGCTCCTTCTTCGGAAACCCAGCCTCTGCTCCTAAGGCCTTCAAGTGAGTGGCTGAGGCCCACCCACATTGTGGAGGGTATTCAGCTTTACTCAAAGTCTACTGCTTGCAATATTAACCATACCCGAACAATATCTTCACAGCACTGTCTAGATTGGTATTTGACCGAACAACTGGGTACCACATCCTAGTGAGGCCGACACATAAAACTAATCCATTGCAGGATGTTCATT